CAGCACATAGCCCAACATTCCTTATTTCAACATTAGAAAACATACCTTTTATACACTAAAAATCCAATTTACTCTCTATAAAAATACACCATAAAACAAAAACGTTTTTATATGTTGACACTAATAATATTTGTAAAAAATAAAAAACAATTGTCTTTGAAGAAATTCACTTTGATAACGTCTACTTTACTTCCATCTTAAAAGTGCATATTTTATTCCTGAATAAGCAAAAAATAGAAAGAGATCGGAGATAAGTGGAGAGTAATAAATAAATTAGTCATAACAAAACTCACAAAAGTGCCAACGCTAATTAGATACGCAATAATGGATATAGATAGATAGAAACAATTACCAGGTCAGAGATGCTTATAAGTGTCACCCTAAAAGGCCATATTTTATAATCCCAAATAAACAAACTTTACAGCTTACAATACAGAATTACACGATGAATATCAATAAATTGAATGTTTTCCTTGGTTTTTATTAAGTTATTTTTACTGCCCGGATATATTCGAATCTGAACATTTTAGCGACATAAGTTGCGACGCCGACCGTATATATACGTGTCTGCACATTTTGGCCGGTTTTGCACGCCCGTGTTAATACGTTTCTGCGCGTTAAGGGGTTAATTGTGAAGTAGAGAAGAAAATTTTTCGGATCAGTTTATTTTCTTAATAGGGCAGAAGTCTGCATAGAATAAATTATCTTAAATTTTATCTTTTATTTCTTCCAGAAATTGCTTGAGAAATTTTTTACATGTTTCCCAACTTTATTTGAACATGGTAGAACATTAATAATGGAAATCACGTTCTATCCAGTCCTCATTGAATATGGAAATGTATCCAATGTGTGAGCCATTATCGATGAAAGTCATCTTCCATATTTATTGAAAAGTAGTAATAATACGCCAAGTTCTCAAAAAATTATCACTTCAGGATCAAATTATTGCGGTTCAAATTATTGTTTTTCCAAATATTTCTTGAAAATCCGGCTCTGTATTATTATATTTGGAGAAACACGTTTTTGGTTAAAAATCTTGTTTAAATGCAGAAATATATGAATCATCATATACATATACAATAATAGGTATCAATGAGATTTAATCGAATTTATCCAAATCTTCCAATTTGTAAATCACATATTTATCCTTTTATAGATTATATTTACTCTTTTATAAATCATATATTTACGCATTTGTAAATTATATTAATAAATTTATGAGGAATAATGAATAATCGTTATTCCAATAAAGAATTATGTGAATAATTTAATCGAATAAAGGATTATTCGAATAGTTCATTCAAGTAAAAGATTATTCAAATAGTTTATGCGAATAAAGAATTATTCGAATGGTTTATTCGAATACTGTATTCAAATAAGTTTAGAATAGTTAGAATATATATAATATAATAGTTTATAGAATAATTTGTGAGGAACAATGAATAATCGTTATTCGAATAAAATATTCGACTGAAAAGAATTCATTTGGATAATTATCTTAAACAAATATTTCTCCGTAACAATTCGAATGACACCCAACTCTGAGACGTCCATAGCTCTGATCGCAATTTCCTTATTTTGTTTGAGAAGGACTGACCTACATGTTTGGAAAGCAA